TAGTAGTCTTATAGTAGTAGTAGTAGTAAAGTAGTATAATAGTAGTAGAAGTGTCGTCTGTAGTAGTAGTAGTAGTAAGTAGTAGTAGTAGTTAGTACTATAGTAGTGGAAAGGAAAGTAGTGGGTAGTCAGTATAGTGAGTAAAGTAAAGTAAGTAAGTAGTAGTCGTAGTAAGTCCGTAGTTTTAGTAGTAGTAGTGTATACGTTGAGTACAGTAGTAGTAGTCGGTTGTAGTCGTAGTAGTAGTAGTAGTAGTAGTAGTAGTCGTGCGTCGTCGTCGTAAGTAGTAGTAGTAGTAAGTAGTAGTAGTAAGTAGTCGTAGTAGTAGTAGTAGTAGTAGTAGTAGTTAGTAGTAGTAGTCGTAGTAGTCGTAGTAGTCGTAGTAGTAGTAGTAGTAGTAGTAGTAGTAGTAGTAGTAGTAGTAGTAGTAGTAGTAGTAGTAGTAGTAGTAGTAGTAGTCGTAGTAGTAGTAGTAGTAGTAGTAGTAGGTCGTCGTCGTCGTTGTCGTCGTCGTAATTGTAGTTGTAGTCGCTGTCGCAGTCTTTGTCGTGGTAATAGTTGGGGCCTTAGTCGTATCGTGGTTGTATTCATAATCTTAGTCGTAGTCGTCGTTGCTGTTGTGCGGCGGGTGCCGCGGACAAATAATTATGCAGCACTAATGGTGGGACCCATGTCCGTCAATAAGGTCCCCGAAAATATAATCAGATTTCAACTATTGGGGGGAAGTTCTAAGAACCTATCACGGTCGCAGGGCCCTCAACGGCTCCTAAATTGCCTTCTTTGGCCCAAGAGGTGTCCGAAAAATGAGCGTTTATTCACCCCCGTTTTGTTGCCCTCCTTTCACGAACGCGCGAGAGAGACGGAGACGGCATGTGTGAACACTTTTTGGCCGATCCCCATCCCTACGGGCGTGGCCTGGGCCCCACTGGCTGATTCACCCCCTTAGATGGGGGTGTAACTTGGGGCTTCCTCTCGAGTTTTGAAGGCATATCCCCAGCTTGGTTGGTGGGATCCCAGACCCCCGACGTCATGATTTTTCATGAAGTCGACCCCCAAAGTTCTCGTCCCACTCCCTTGGACCGGTTTTGATCCTGAGTCGTTTTTTGAGAGCCTTGAGGCCCGGACAAGGCCCCGAGCGGCCGAACACAGCGACAACCTATTCGCTGTGTTTTTTTCCACGACTCGAGGGGGTGGATAGGGATGGGGATGGGGATGGAAAGAGGGATCTGTGGAACGGTATTGAATGGGCGCCACACGGAGGGACCGCGCCGACCTGCCCGCGCTTGCCGCGAGCCCCGAGCAGGTTATGGCGAAGGCCGAGGACCGGCTCCGGCGGGAGGTCGGCAAGCAGCGGCTGGCCCTGGCGCTGGTCCAGGCCTGCGCGCCGCTGCTGCGCTTGGGCCAGGGACACCTTGGGCAACACCCTCGTCGTCGTCGTCGTTGTCGTCGTCGTCGTCGTCGTCGTCGTAGTCGTCGTCGTCGTCGTCGTCGTCGTCGTCGTCGTCGGGTGCTGCCAGGAATGGTCCCAGCCCAAGGTCGAAGAAGAACACGCTGCATATACAGAAGCTTTCGGCGATCCGCGCGAATTCTTTTGACCAGCGCTGGGCCCCCTGGCAGCGCCTCTGGCGCCGCCCCTGGCGCGCTTCACGTGCCAGGGAGGGGGTTCAGCGCCGATCCAAGAAATCCGCGCGGACCTCAGAGAAATGATGTTCATGCAGTTTTTTGTCTCCCTATGCGCGCTGCTGTTGCGAGGCAAGCGCAGTTGTGGTACGCAGCAGGCCCCGCCCTTGTGTATGTGGTCTTTCATGGGAGCCTCAGGATTCCCAAACTCCTTGCGGTTTCGGGGATTCGGTCCAGATTTCGTAGGATTTGCTAGACATCTGGACGAAATTTGATGAGATCTGGACGAAAGGGTGAAGAGGGATGGTCGAAATCTGGACGAAGTCCAGTCGAGATCACCTTTCTTATAGTTTTCCGCAAAAGTGCACACAACAGAGAAACCCTCCAGTGGAGTGCTCCTAGGTCTCACGGGGAGAGTGGCAGTGTAAATCACCACTGCGAGCCAACGATTTTCATACATCGCCATCCTCCCTTGCATGCACAAGGAACACTCGTCGGCGGGTGTTTGCGTAAATCTTATTTCACGGGCGCCCACCCCAGGGCTCCCACTGGTAGGAGCAGGAGGAGATGCACTGGTGGTCCCAGACCCCGCGAATCATGAAACAATCACGACAGCAGGTTTTTTTCTACATCTTTTAGTTCTCTGCGGGCCCTCGCTGGGTCTCGGGGCAGTCAACAAAAAATCAGGATGAAAAGCTTGTGCCCGTGAATAGGTCGATACCGTTGGGGGTTGACTTTATGAAAAGCTCTTGACGTTTGGGGTCTGGATTCGGCAGCAGGACGGAGGAGGAACAGTTCACTCCGCCCTGGCGCGATCCCAGTGGCTAGTGGCCATGGACACTCGCGCACATGCTCTGCACGACGCAGTAGCGCACATTGTAGAATCGGGGCGGGCGTTGGGGGTCTCCCCCCTTCAAAACTCAGCTAACTTTCGCAGGACAACGCCATGGGCCTCCACGAGCAGGAGGCAGGAGCCCAGTCGAGGCTGGGCGATGCTGCTGCAGCTCCTCCTCCTCTTGTCATTGCGACCCTGGCACCCATCCCTCTTTGAGATGGGTGGTCACCGGGGTCAGGTGTCAAGGGCGCCCTCGAGGGCGCGAAGTTATTCTCGCTTCGCGCTTCGCGGTTCGGCTCGGATTGCTTCTCATCCTCCTCTTCTCCCCTGGGAGGCGGCGCGAGAGCGCGAAGTTATTCGCACTTCGCGCTTCGCGCAGCGCGAAGCGCGAATTTGGGAGCCCTTGGGTGTGTGAGGGTGCCGTCCAGTGCGGATTTAACTGTGCACCCCCACGGTCTGCGGGCCACGGCCCCCCTGACCCAGACCAGGTGGAGAGGAAGGGAAAAGTTGAAAGCACTGCCTCTCTTCATGCTCTCGCCCCCCCCCCCCTCTCTCACATATTCGGCTCCTTCCAGCGGGCGCGGAGGCCGCCGAGAGCCGCATGATCCAGAGCCTCAAGGCGTCGATTCACGAGGCCCCCCCTCGAATCCGCCATGGTACGCAAGAGGAGGAGGGTGAGGAGGAGGAGGAGGAGAAGGAGGACCATTGTAAACCCAAGAGTCATCAACGATGTTGGATTGAGGGACCTGCCTTGTTGGAAGACGACCCTGTGAAGACCTTGAAGCATGCCAAGACATGGTTCTCGGGATTTCCACGCCACGGATCAACCTGACTGCTACGTCTTGACGATCTGGAATCGTGCCAGAAAGCCATTTTTGGGACTTCAACGCCGCGAATCAATATAACTGTTGTGCTCGCATAATCCTGAATCCTTTCAAAGCGCCGCCACTAGTACGTTGACCATAGGAGTCCGTGAAACTTTATGGGATTTCTGTCAGACAAAAAACGAATGTGCGCGGCGCTAAAGCGAGAGCCACATTTTGAAAACGACCTGCCCTCAATCCGTGAAGCTTTTGAACAGTTTTAAAACGAATGTGCGCTACGCTAAGCCGAGAACCGCATTTTGAAAATGACCCGACTTCAATCCCAATTTTTCTTACAGATGTTCACAACGAATGTGCGCGGTGCTAAAGCGAGAGCCACGTTTTGAAAACGACCCGCCCTCGATCCGTGAAGCGCTTGCAGCTTTTTACAACGAATGTGCGCGGCGCTAAGGCGAGAGCCACATTTTGAAAACGACCCGCTCTGAATCCGTGAAACTCTTGCAAACGTTTAAGGCGAACGTGCGCAGCGCTGAGGCGAGAAACCCATTTTGAAAACCACCCGCCCTCCATCTGTGAAACTGTTGTCACTTCTAAAGCTTCAGAGTCATAAATGGTGTGGAAGTCTCAGGCGAAACGCCCAGCCCGCCAAAACTTGCTTCGGGGTGCGACAGGGAGATGCTATCGGTAAGGAAAAGGAATGGAGGAGGAGGATGGGAGGCTGGGTTCGGTCCAGAGCGTTCCAGAACGCTCTCAAACACGAATAATCTCGAAGAAGAAAGAACGTCATAAACATACACTTTCGGCCGTGAGGGGAGTCCAACGCAGATCCAAGAAATCCGCGCGGAGCGCCAATAGTTTATGTTTATGGCGCTCGTTCTTTTTCTAGAATCGTCGATTCCCAGTAAATATGGAGTATGGGAAGTGGAGGGGGAGACGAAAGTCCAGACGACAGACTGGGAAATATGGGGCGTCCTGGGATTTGTGTCTGTTTACTTGCGTGCCCCTGGGCTCTTCAGCAACCCGCTCTGGAGCGTTCCGCTCAGAGCGTTCCGGCACGATCCGAGAAGGCCGCGGCGCACGAGACGTGCTGCAGAGCCGCGGGATCTCTGGGGGCGGACAGAACCCCCAACAGTGACACGTCGATAAGTGAATTGTCCGTTTTCGGTTCTCGAGAGGGCGCCGCGGCCGTCATTTTCCAGGCTTGCGCCCGCCAGGTTTGGGCCTCGGGTCGTTTTCACTAAGCCACGTTTCGCTAAAGGGAGGTCTGTCCATCCCCGAGATCTCCGGGAACCGGGAACCTGCATCCGGGAGCTGGGGGCCTGGAACGGGGATCCGGGAACCATCCTTCCCGCCTCCCTCCCCCCTTTCCCCTCTCCCCCGTCGCCGCGGGGCGCGGCCCCGTGGGAGCCGCGCCGCCGGGCCTCGTGGCCGCGTGCCCCTCCCCCCCTCGCGCGGACCGCCGCTTGGCATTGCTCGGACGTGTGCGTCATTTCCTCGGCGAGGACCGTCGGGGAGCATCCCGGATCATTGTGCGAAAAACGCGCGCGCGACATCGAAAAACGCCTGGGGAATGGACGCCACAGCGGTGGCGGGTCCGAGATTTCTGTTGGCAGTGCCATTCTTCCCTCTCCTGGAGTGGGCACTCGCATCCTCCCTCTGGGCTCCCCCTTTTCCACGGTTCGCCCTCCCCGTCCCCCTCCTCCCCCCCCCCCCTCGACTCCCACGCCGACCAGCTTGGCGGCTCCCGCGCAGACCAGTTCGTCGACTCCCGCGCCGACCTCACCGACTCCCAGCCCGTCCAGCTCACCAGCTCCAGCGCCGACCAGCTCACCCGACTCCCGCGGCGACCAGCCCACATATTCTCGCACCGACCAGCTCGCCGATTCTCGCGCCGAGTGGCTGGCCGACTCCCGCGCCGACCAGGCCGCTGACTCCCGCGTCGTCACGGCGATGTTTTGGAATGGTAGTATGGCAAGATGTGTCCCGGATACTTAGCTGCGCCACCCTTCCTGTACCGAGCTCCGAGTACGACCACCGGGCAACGCGTTCCTCGTGATTTGATCTTGGACGCCCATCTGGGCAGGACCCGGGCCGCTCCCGCGGAGTGCCAGTGGCATGTCGGTTTTCCTGACCGCACTTTGGGGGTTGGCGGTGGACTGGACCACGCTACAAACTCGTACCTTCCATCGATGCTATCATTGGACACCACGTTCCAGTGCCGCCAGTGCTCTTGCAGAGAGTGCAGGAGACGTCCGCGATCCTGTGCCTTACGGCGTTGGCAAGGTCTGGTTGATACAATGGGGCACCCGGTTTTCCATGCTGCACGATGTTGCAAGATTTGTTCGCGATGCTATACCTAGCCCCGTTCACAATGTCCAAGAGGCTGCCGCCGAACACCACGTTTCCAATGCCGACAAGGTTATGGGAGATCTGGCAGGAGAGGCCCGCGATACAGCGTTTCACCACGTTGGCAAAACTTGAGGATACCACAGGGCTCCAGGAGTACAATACAACGATGCAGTTGACTATGTGTCAAGTGATGTCCGCGATGCTATGCCACACCACGTCGACAAAAGTCGCTACGCTACCATCGGCATCCATGTTTCCAAGGTTGCCGCTGTGTGGATGATACTGCAGGCGATGTCCTCGATGTTCTGTCTCACCACGTCGGATATCTACTTTCAAGGAGTTGCAGAACGAGACCTTTGTATCTTAGGGTTTTGCACCGATGGTATTTTGAGCCACCTTGCCTCTGTCCCCTTCTCCTCGCTGCCTCCCTCTCCTGTGCGGGCTGGCCGTCCGTGTGTCAATGAATGTACAGTGGGGACCCATGCCAAGAAACACCCTGCTTGCCTTCAGGGTGCCCTGTGTTTCTTGGGTTTCGATGGTTTTGCTATGGAGTTCGTGACGTTCCCAAAAACACTGGTGGGCGTCCTGGGGTCTCAGGTCTGGATGTCTTGCGGAAGGTTTCTTGCGGAAGGTTTCCTTTTTGTCGTGTGGCTGGTAGTCGAATTCTGCACCCGTGCTTTGCACAGGGTCGAGCAGCCGACAGGCATGCTCTCGTGGTTCGCTCGCTCCCTCTGGCCTCCACTGTACTGCACGTGGGTTCTGTGCCGAGTGCGGGGCGCCCGCCCACTGTGATGCCTTTGCCCCTCCGCTCCGCGCGGCGGTGGACGCCTCTCTAGTGGCCTCGGTGCGCCGCGGGCGTCACAGAAACATCCGCATCCGTTAGTTCCCCCGTTGCCTTGGAATTCCATTGTCAGTGCTGTTCGCGAGATCGACGAGCGCATCAAGTATTGGAGACACCATGCCGACGGCGCCCTCGCGCGGTTCGGCGTGACACAGGGGCACGAGGAGAAGGAGGAGGAGGAGGAGGAGGAGGAGATCAGCCAGCCCGGGGACCACCTCCGCCTTTCGCAGCATCCGCCTGCCTAAGCGGCTTCCCGTGCGTGGTCATCCAGACGGCCCCGCGCGGCATCCTCAACCTTTCGCTGTTCATGCTGTTCGAGCTCGGTTGACCCCCAGTGGAGTCCTTGGCTGTGACCTGGCGTTCACTCCACGTTCCTCTCCCGCGCCCCGCTCTCCCGCCTTCCGTGCGATAGAAATTCGGGTATGTTTTCCGTCAGCATGTGCTGTGCGCTCTCCTCTCTCCAATCGTTGTGTGCTGCCCAATTCTACTAATGATCGTGTGGACCATGTGGGGATGCACGCACACAGCGTCATTGTTTTTCCATTTTATCCCTCATCGTCCTACTCCTCGTCCTTGGCCGGCGTCTTGCCGCGTCCGCTTAGCTCGTAGCCCGCTTTTTTTTCGAATCCCCTAGCCTGCGGCCGGCGCAGGGGGGACTCGCCACTCTCTCAGGCCACGGTTCACTTCACGCGTTTGCTTGTTGCAGGTCGGCACTTGGAATGTTCATGGTTTTGCCTGGCCACTTTTTGGATCGCATGGCGGATGAGCTTGAGTGGATAGTGTGGCGGTCGGTTGTTTGCGTTTCTTCTTGTCAGTGTGTGTGTGTGTGTGTGTGTGTGTGCGCGCCCTTCGGGGAATCCTGTGGAATCTCGGGGAATCCTGCGAAAGCCCGCAGAACCTTGAGTCCAAAGGAAAAGCCAGGACTGGTGTCTAGTGGGCTCGCGCCGTGCTGATCAGAGGATGCTGTGTCCGTGCAGAGTAAGTCCAGAGGAGAATGGAGAGAAACTAGGATGAGGATGAGGAGGAAGATGAGGGTGAAGATGAGGGTAGATGATGATGCTGCTGATGATGGTGGTGATGATTCTGCAGATGATGATGATGATGATGATGATGATGATGATGATGATGATGATGATGATGATGATGATGCTGATGACGATGATGATGATGATGATGATGATGATGATGATGATGATGATGATGATGATGATGATGATGATGATGATGGCGAGGATGACGATTATTATGATGCTGCTGCTGATGATGAGGATGATGCTGATGCTGATTCTGATGATGCTGCTGCTGATGATGATGATGCTGATCATGATGCTGCTGCTGCTGCTGATGCTGCTGATGATGATGATGGGGATGACGACCATGCTGAAAATGATGATGATGATGATGATGATGATGATGATGATGATGATGATGATGATGATGATGATGATGATGATGTTGCAGCTGCTGATTGATTCTGCGGGTGACGGTTTTGTTGTTGCTGACAATGATGTGTCTGGCGATGATGCAGATTCCGATGCAGCTGCTGCTGATGATGCTGATGCTGGTGATGAAGCGGATGATGTTGATGATGACATTGATGGTGTTGTTGATGATGATCATAATGATGACGATGATGCTGCTGCTGCTGATGATGATGATGATGACCCTGCTGATGATGCTGATACTGATGATGATGGTGACGCTGCTCATGCTGATGATGATGTTAATGCTGATAATGACAATACTGATGATTACGATGCTGATGATGCTGATGCTGATGATGATGATGATGATGATGATGATGAGGACGACGATGATGATGATGCTGATGTTGCTGCCGATGATGATGATGACGATGATGCTGATGATGAGGATGCTGATGATGATGATTCCGATGCTGATGCTGCTGATGATGATGCTGATGCTGATGCCGAATATGATGATGCTGACGATACTGATGCTGATTATGATGATGATGATGCTGATCATGATGCTGATGATGTCGATACTGATGATTCTGATGACTATCAGGATTATGCTGATGCTGGTTCTGATGATGCTGATGATGATGATTATGATGATGATGATGATCATGATGATGATGATACTGATGATGATGATGATGATGATGATGATGATGGTGATGCTGATGATGATGATTATGATGATGATGATTCCGATTCAGCTGCTGCTGATGATGCTGTTGCTGATGATCATGATGATGATGACGATGATGATGCTGATGATGATGATGATGATGATGATGATGCTGATGATGATGCTGATGCGGATTCTGATTATGATGGTGATGTGTATGCTGATGGTGGTGGAGGTGGTTTGGGTGGTGGTGAGTAGGATGAGGATGAGGATGAGGATGAGGATGAGGATGCGGATGAGGAGGATGAGGAGGAGGAATAGGAGGACGATGTTGCCGCTGCTGCTGATGCTGCTGCTGCTGCTGAGGAGGATGATGAGGAGGGCTTGGAGGAGGAAGAGGAGATGCAGGAGGAAGAGGAGTAGCAGCCACCCCACTGATGGTTGCCAAACGTCAAAAGGAGGAAGAGGAGGAGGAAGAGGAAAAGGAGGAGGAGGAGGAGGAGGAGGAGGAGGAGGAGGAGGGGGAGGATCACTGACCAAACTGCCAGGATGAAGAGGAGGAGTGTGAGGAGGAACGGACGGAGGGAGGGAGCAAGGACGGATGATGAGGAGGAGGGTCACTGATCAAATTGCCAGGTCTGCGAGCGGGTCGCCGTTGAGCAGTCCCTGTGCCGAGGAGGTATTGCCAAAGGGGGGCACCCGTCACCTGGGTCAACCCTAGGTCGCAGCCAGTTGCTGTTGGTTGCTGACGAGGGCGCGCCCTGGTTAGCAACCAACACTAGGACTGTACAAGAGTGGCGCCCTGCACCAAGTGAAGGACCGCAGGCTAGTTTGGTATGCATTGCATAGCCTTTACCCACAGTCTTAGCAGCGCACCGAAGGTGGACCGTGACAGCCGTTGCCACCACCCCGCCAAGCTGGGCCTCGAAAGTTGCTTACAAACTGCGCGTGGCGGTTGCAGGAACTCCAGCCGTGTTTGTTGAGTCGGCTTGGCCGAAACAACGGGCCGCAGGCTGGCTGGGTATGCAATGCATAGCCTTGGCGCGCGGTCCTGCAGAGTTCCAGAGACGATGACGCTGCAGGTGATGATGACATGTGCCATCTGGTGGCTGGGCAGTAGCGAGGCTATCACCCTACTCCAAAATGCATTTCCCGAGTGTTCGGGGCCTACGCTGGTAGCAGTGCGTACGGAAAACAGACTCAGTAGAGGGGGCCTGCTGGGGGTTGGGCGGGGGGGCGGGCGAGCCAGTTGGGAAGAGAAGGGGGGATTGGGGCTCCGCAGAGGAGAAGGCGGGGGGTGGGTGGGAGCAATTGGAGGGAGAGCTCGCTTGGGAAAAGGAGCCCGTGCCCGCCCGCCAGGCCAAAGAGCTTGGCCTCCGGCGGGGGGACTTCCCGGACGCCGGCGGTGTGGGCGTGCTCGACAGGGCGCAGCAGGCCAGGGCTCTTTTGTGAGGGTCTCTTTCCGAGCAGGAGATGGAATCCGGCAGCGATCTGCCTCAAGCTATCCTTTCGTCGACTCTACAACAAATGACAGCAGGCTCTCCATTTTTACTGACATTTTGCGCACTTGTTGCACGCTGTAGATTCGAAGAACAAAATAAGTTGTAAAGAAGGGCTTTCGCATTTTATCTCCATCCAGCTCCTCCTCCTCCTCCTCCTTCTCCTCCTCCTCCTCCTCCTCCTCCTCCTCCCCCTCTAAGTGTACGAAAGTCCACCTACTCTTGTTGTACACCTGTTGTGCACTGTAGATTCTGGGGTGCATCAATTCGGTAGTCGATCTCCTGCTCGACCTTTCCCGCGCCCGCCCGGGGCCGCCGCTCTTCTCGGGGGCACCGTGGCTGACCCCAGCCTTTCGGCGTCTCGAAGACCGAGGCGGCGATCTTTAATCAGCTTCCGGCCTCTCGGGGCCCTGATTGGGCCTCGGCACCGTCGAAAAACAATTCGGGATGCGAAACCGGTCCTGGGGACGCGGTCGAGAGGTCGGGGGCCTGTGCCTCGAATAAACCGGGACAGCCGTTTTTAATACACATATATATATATATATATCTATAGTTTTTGGCCTCTCGGGGCCCTTGCTGGGCCTTGGGACCGTGGAAGAACGACTCGGGATGGGAAACCGGTCTTGGGCAAGATGTCGAGAGGTCGGGGGGCCTGTGTCTTGAACAGATTCAGACGGCGATCTTTCATGGTTTTCGGCCTCTCGGGGCCCTTGTTGGGTCTCGGGACCGTCGCAGAACGACCCGGGATGAGGAACCAGTCCCGGGGAAGTGGTCGAGAGCAGGGCTCGAGCTGAACGGTGTTTTGGCGATCTTTTTGACCGTTTTCGTTTTGGCTTCGTTTTGCAGCCAAGGCGGGACGAAGGCAGAACGAGGGAAAACGAGCAACAAACGAAAACGGACAGCAGTGTTTACCTCGAGCCATGGTCGAGAGTTTGGGGGCCCGTATCTCGAGCGAGCCGCGTCGCCGGATGTCTCTGACCGTGCCCCGGAGCCTCGAGCCCCCTTTACTGAGCCCGAGCCTATCCCCCCTTAACTGAGCCTGAGCCTGAGCCTGAGCCTTGAGCACCCCCCAGGCCCTGGCCTATCTCCCTCCAGATCTTGGCATCGCTCGGACGTGTGCATTCTTCTCGGCGAGGACCGTCTAGGAGCATCCTGGGTCATCCCGCGAAGCGTACACGCACGAAGCCTGAACATGCACGGGGGACTGACGTCCCAGCGACGGCCAGAAGTTTGGAGGGGATAGGCTGAGGTCCAGAGGGAGATGACGTTTCGAGGCTCGAGATTTGAGCCTCAAACTCTAAGGTCTTCGCTGTTTTTCATTTTTCTTGGGGCTGCCTGCTGGACCTTAACCTGCCCCTCCGGGCCTCGAGCTGCGAACACATTGAACTGTCAGGTTTTCGCTCGCTTTCCTTTTTTGTACTGGGGGCCTGCTGGACCTCAGCCTGCCCCTCTGGGCCTCTTCCTAGACTTCTGAGGCCTTCGCTCGGTGTTTCCAGTGTTGTCATGGGGGGCCTGCGGGAGGCTGCTCGTCGCCCCGGCTGTGGACCCGTGTCAAAAAAAAAAGGTCGGGCCTGTCGGGGGCGGTTCGGATCCCTAAGGGCGTGTCGACTTTTCGCCAATCGACTTGTGAGAATCGAGCCAGATAAACCCAGGTAAATGCAGATAAATCTAGGTAAATCCAGGTAAATCTAGATAAATCTGGGTAAATCCAGGTAAATCCAGAGATCTCCAGGAAAAGTTCGAGCACTTCGCGGCCGCTCCAGCGCGAGTCGAAGGACGGCAGAAGTCGTTAAGCCTTTAACGATCGGAGCGGGGTGGTGACCAGGGGGGGGGGGTGGACATCGTGGCGGGGGCCATGATGTCCACCCAGGTGTCATTGCGCCTCTTCTTACAGTGGGGGCCCATTCCAAGAAGCACCCTGCTTGCCTCCAGGGTGCCCTGGGTTTCTTGGCTTTCGAGGGTTCTGCGATGGAGAGCGCGACGCTCCCACAACAACAATGCAGTTGGCGTCCTGAGGTCTCAGGGTTGGGTTTCTTACGGATGGTCTCTTGTGGTCGAGCCCCTACTGTAGGGGTTGTGGATATCGTGGCGGAGGCCATGATAGCTCCCCAGATGTCATGGCGCCTCTTATCTCATTGCGTCCCCGGCTTCCCCCCCCTGGGCCGTGCACGTGCCGCCGGCCATGATTTGCGCGCCGCCCCCTCATGGACGCCCCCCTCTTGGACGCCCCCGAGTCTGGGGATCGAATTTGAGCGGATTTGGGCCCAGGGCGCTCGAGATTTGAGGTGCGAGGTTTCCCGGCGTTCTCGTCGCTTCTCGGCGGCCTTCGAGCCTCGGGAGGACTCTCCCTGACTGCAGCGGCCTCGCCTCGCCGAGGGGGCGGCCTCTGGGGGTGGCCGGAGCTTCTCGCAGGATGCCGCCAGAAACCGGAAGCGTGGCCCGAAAGCCGAGGGGCAGTGTCCAGGGGCAGCGATAGGGGTGGACAGGCAGAGGGTTAAGTCGGGCCTGTCCCTCTACAGGGGGAATGTATCAAAATAGTTGAAAAATAGTCAAGGGACTATTTTGTCACCATTTTCGATCATTTTGGAGTATTTTTCCCTGAATTTTTGATTGTTCGTCCAAAATCCCCCTGTATGGGGACAGGCCCGACTTAAGCATAGGGGGGGGATGCATCGACCCCCCATCGCCCATGGATCGCCGATAGGGGTCTGATAGCCCCAGCCCGCCCAGGAAGGTGCGGACTCACTGACGGGGGCCCATCGCCGATCTTTCGGCGATGCATCGCCGATTCCGGGCAATTCCGGGTCGATGTATCCCCCCCATATGCCAGCCCCCCCCCCCCCCCCGGTCTTGCCCCCCAAATGTAGGGGGGACGCATCGCCCCCCAACAGAGCCAATCGTTTTGAACAATAAGCAGTATGTCTAGGATGACCAGGACGCGATCTGGAAAATGGCGCATCTTTTCACCGTGCATGATGTCGCAGGACAGCCTTGCGACGAGCATGATACTTGCAGCACGCTTGGATGTTGGCTGATGCCCCCCTGCGTTGGTCCCCCCTGCACCCCTGACGTTGCTCGTCTCCTCCCCCCTTCGTGAACAGTGGAAAACCGACCCCAGCCCCCACAACTATGCATTCATAGCGAATTTGCGTGGGCGTGCTGTCGGCGAGGCCGTTGCCTGTCGCGCGCGCGCCGCCCTGCGTCTGCTGGAGGAGAGCCAGTCGAGGCACCTGGGGGGCCCTTCCTGGCGTTGTTCGGTGCTCTGGGGGCAGCTCTCGAGGTCCTCTGGGGGCCTTCGGGAGCGCTCCTGGAGCGCTCCTGGGCGCTTCCAGGATGTCCCGAGGCTTTCCCATGGCCGTCCCAGGCGATCCCAGAGCTCCCAAGGCGCTTCCATGTCTCCAGGGCGCTCCCTGGGCGTCCCGGGTTTTCAGGGCGTCCCAGAACCTTCAAGGGCATTCCCAGGCTCTTGGGGCCGTCTTGGGGCTCTCTTCGGGTGCTTTTGGGCCGTATTCGAAGTCCTTGGGCCGTCTTGGGGCCGTCTTGGGGGGCTGTTGGGCCGTCTCGGGTCTCTTCTGGTCCCTCTTGGGCCCCCCCTATTGGGGGGCTTCTTGGACCGCCTTGGTGCCATCTTGGAGGCCTTAGGGAGCGTCGGAAGCCCGAAAAGGCGAGAACGCGAACACCGCTACAACCCCCTTAGGGCCGCTACTGAGTTTGGCCTCTTCAGGCCCTCTGGGAAGGTCTCTTGGAGCCGTCTTGGGGGCCCTCGTGAGCCATCTTGAGGCCGTATTCGAGTGTCTTGAGGATGACGACGACGAGGACGTCGCTGGTGAAGTTGCTGAGGATGGTGATGAACACGAGGATGGCGATGACGATGATGACGATGACGCTGGCGACGTCGATGATGATGATGGTGGTGATGCTGATGATGCTTAGGATGGTGTGGCGAACCACCGCCGCCCCCTGCCTTCTGGAATCGCCAGTGTGGCCAAACGTTTGGCCGATGTCTTGCCACACAATTGCGCTATGTGTTCCCCAAGTCGTTGCAGAAGCCAATTGGGAAACACCTGGGGAAGGAACACGGAGAGGATACTGTGAGGGAGGATAGCGCGGGCCTCTTGGGGCCTCCCGAGAGATGCCTGGGAGCTTCTTGGGGACTGCCGAAATAGGTGCGGTGCGCGCATACGAATGCAGCCGTTTGGGCCGTCGGTGGAGCTCCCTGTGGGGCCGCGAAACGTGTCATGGGTGTGCCGAAATGGGTGCGGTGGGCGCATGCGACCGCAGCCACTGGTGCCTTCGGTGGAGCTCCCTGTGGAGCCACGAAACGTGTTAGGGGTGTGCCGAAATGGGTGTGCGTGACGCATGCGGGCGGTGGCACTGGGGCCTTCGGTGGAGCTCCCTATGGGGCCACGAAACGTGTGAGGGGTTCGCCGAAATGGGTGTGCGTGACGCATGCGGGCGATGGCACTGGGGTCTTCGGTGGAGCTCCCTGTGGGGCCACGAAACGTGTGAGGGGTGTGCCGAAATGGGAGCGCGTGGCGCATGCGGGCGGTGGCACTGGGGCCTTCGGTGGAGGTTCCTATGGGGCCACGAAACGTGTGAGGTGTGTGCCGAAATGGGTGTGCGTGACGCATGCGGGTGGTGGCACTGGGGCCTTCGGTGGAGCTCTTTATGGGGCCACGAAACGTGTGAGGGGTGTGCCGAAATGGGAGCGCGTGGCGCATGCGGGCGGTGGCACTGGGGCCTTTGGTGGAGCTCCCTGTGGGGCCACGAAGACTGTTAGGGTTGTGCCGAAATGGATATGCGTGACGCATGTGGGCGGTGGAACTGGGGCCTTCGGTGGAGCTCCCTGTGGGGCCACGAAGCGTGTGAGGTGTGTGCCGAAATGGGTGTGCGTGACGCATGCGGGCGGTGGCCCTGGGGCCTTCGGTGGAGCTC